TACCACTGTCTGGTTTCTGATCTGTTTGGAGACACAAGTCAAATGTGTATTAAACTTTTCTGTGAAGGGATCAAAGCTAAAATTTTGTAAAATAATATCTGAAGTTCTTTGGGATCTGCAAGGATGTCAATATCTGTATAGATTCCACCCTCTTCACCTTGGTAACATTTCTAGACACTTCATCTCTCACATACTTTTTTTCAAAGAACAAAAAATTGTAACTTGGGCGGGGGGCAAATGGGAAAGGGTTAAGAAGCTGTTCTCCCATGCAGCTAATCCTCATGAGAAGTTTGGCCTTAAGTTGTCAGTTCACATAGATCTCCAGAACCAGTTGCTGAGAGTGACATTACTGAGATGTGTGATTTTACAAATCTTGTCCCGATAACTGTATAAACACCACAGTTATTCTGGCTGAAGTCTCCTAGGTATCTCACGGTGAAGTTACTTTAAACTGTTGCTAGGAAAGAGTGTGGTGAGCAAGGTAGGCCTCCTCCCTTGATTGCCTTAACCTTCCAGTGAACCTGCTGTTTTGGCAGCCACTACAGCAGAAAAAAATGCGCACTGATGGATGATGTGTAAATGAGAAAATGTGCCACAGGAAAACCCAAGTCTCTTAAATGTACAACAGCTGGAGTTGTCTGATCATATAATCTTTGCCTATGGCTACTGGGGTGGCAGCACCTTGTAGTTGGCATCAGTCCCTTCTCTGTAGCAGGTGTTCTCGGTGGATATGGCTTCTGCATCTGAGTGACATTCAAGTATTTCTGTGTCTGTGTGTGTCTGGAGGTGTTTATGTGTAACATGAGCGGCAAGCTGTGCCCACACACACACACGCACACACACACATATTTTGTTCATGCTGTTGAGAAGCATGATTGGCCTCGGATCCCTGCTGCATGTATGTACAGTGTGTATGCGTGGAAAAGAGGTCTTTGCTGCTCACTTGTTAAGGGAGCATTTATATCTGGTTTGTAAACATGTGGTATTTCCCATGACTTGTGGAAGCAGTCCCACGTAGATGTATTAGTTCAAAGAAAAATTCATGTAAAACCTTTTCTTAAGACCAACTGAAATATTACAAAATAGTATGTTGAGCTTTCAAGTTCTCCAAAATGCTTCATCAGACTGCATGTTAGAGATCTTTTGTCTGCTCTTGTTGGAGACTTAGGATGTGGTAGGATGCTGGGTGGAGTTGGTACCAGGTGCCTTTGGCCTTCTGGAAAGGAGGTCAGGAGAATGAAAGCCTCGATTGTGAATGTAAAAAAAACCCTGGTTATTAATACCCAGTTTGCTTTAAGTTCACACTTCAACTTTATTTTCTGGATTGGTGATATTGTTAATATAAGGACTACCACAATTTTTTCCTTCCTCTCTTCCCTTGAAGGAACTTATGCTTTCCATTTGTGTTAGAAATCAGAGAGACACTTGATTAGCCCACTGGTTTTTGGGTTCACAATGGGTAGCTGTCATCATTCTTAACTTTTTTCCAGAAGGTTTAATAGCTAGCCTTGCCTAGCACCCTGGAGCATCCTAAGTGTGCAGGATTCTCCAAACAAGAGCAGAAAAAAGACATCAAGATCATCCCCCCCCCCTTTGAATATCCAGTCTGATGAAGGGTAGTGCGAAACTCAAGAGCTCTCACACTGTTTCGGTCTGATGTCTTTTGTTTTCCATAATGGGCAAAGTGGCCCTGATTTGATTGTTTTAGGCAGCTCCACTAATAGAAGTATCAGTATCTTGGTCTGCCCCACTACAGGGAAAGCAGAAAGGAGGTCACCACATCACATAATGTATTATACATGGTATGTATTGCATATGTACCAGATGGCTAAGTATCTCAGTGTCTTTGATCCAATCACAAATGAGCTTAACTTTCACTTTACTGTTCCTCTATATGCATAGTTCATCCTTCATCTAGAAGCTGATTACAACACACTGGCTGTCATTTGCACCTTTCTCCCAGAAAGAGGCACAATGTTGAGGGTGTGAAGTCTTGTAAGATGCACAGTAGTATGAGGAAGCATCTCTCAGGCATCTTGTATCTGGAAGACTGAGATACAAAGCCTTGCTGTTGTTCACTTTGTCATGTGAGAATTTAATTTGGAATGTTTTGCCACTCTGAGATATTGCTATGGATGGATTCGGCTTGCTGTGCCAGATGGGGGTGAGGGAAGGAAATCATATCTAGTGTCCAAGTAGCTGACAGCAGCTTCTTATTGTTTCAGGTATCAGGGTCAAGAGGGCTGGGCCCCAGCATCTTACCTGAAAAAGGGAAGTGGGGACATGTTTACACCAAAGCTGGGATCTGCAGCTTCTGCCCACTCATATGCACTGGATCTGGATGGGATTTCCCGGCAGCAGAACTCAGCAGGTCGAGACAAGAATGGATGCAACAACCAAAGAGATGGAAGGTTTGATGGTCGCCCTCTGCCAAATGTGGAGCTCAGGCGAAGTAAGTTGGAAACTGTAAAATATTAAGATGGTTTGTAGGTCAAGCTAGCGAGGCAGAATTCAGGCAAGTTTTCAGGGCTCCAGAGCATTCTGAGCTCTACAGTTTATAAGGTGGATAAGACTGAGATTGGAAGGGTTGAAGAAAACTGGCAGTAAATTCTGTGGTTCTCCTATGTGTATATTGTCTTTCACCCTACACCCCCCCCTTCTCCCCCCCCCCATGGAGAGCTGGGTAGAGAAGCAGACAGTGGCTCAACCCTCCCAAAATAGGTATCTCTGCCAGACACTGCTGGGGACCTTCCTGAGTGAAGCATCACTCAACTTCACTGGTGCGGGTATGGGCATATCTTAAGAACCTGACCTGTCCAAAATTTGTGTATAGGTTTTTATCTCTGGAAAACCTAACCAGCTCACCCCCTGCCTCTCCCAGGTGTTAAGGGTGGAATGCCATTCTCCCTTTTTTCTGGGCTCCACTGTTATTTTGTAATGATTCTGGCCATCTCCATGTTCTAAATGCAGAAGGTACCATTTGAATCAATTGATTTTGAGAGACTTGAGGAGTCAGTAGGGCAGGCTGGTTTAAACCCACTAAGAAGAGTGCTTGGGACAGGGTGGTGGATGTTTCTTTGCTCCTTTTGTCTATCACCTTCTGAACCACAGTTGTGATTTTTTTTTTTTAAATCGTGGTGGAATATTTTTCTTGATAGAGTCACCAAAGATGAGGCAGAGACCACCTCCTCGTCGAGATCTCACGATAGTAAGTATTATCTACAGCTGCCTTTGCTTGATAAGTGTTGGTGCTTTTTGGGCTGCAGTGGCAGCAGTTCAAGACCCGAGTGCCGCATGACGGAATGAGCTCCCATCTGTGGCCCCAGCTCCTGCCAACCTAGCAGTTCGAAAGCAAGAAATTGCAAGTAGAAAAATAGGTACCACTTCGGTGGGAAGGTAACAGCTCAGCAGTAGAGCATCTGCTTGATATGCAGAAGGTCCCAGCATCTCCATTTAAAAGGACCAGTAGGTGATGTGAAAGACCTCAGCCTGAGAGCCTGAAGAGCTGCTGCCAGTCTGAGTAGATAATACTAACTTTGAAGGGCCAAGGGTCGGATTCAGTAAAGGCAGCTTCATGTGTTTACTGACAGGGAAACGTATCTGCCCTCTTGCTATGCTATAGGGCTCTGGAAAACACAGAACTAGTAACTACTAGCAGGGTTGACTGTTGCAAGTCAGTTTGTATGAGCTGCAGTGGAACAAAACGTATGTGAGTGATGCAGTCTGTATAGCTCAAGTGCTTACTCAGTCCTTATGGGCACATTGTGCCTTAGATAGGCATAGGCTGATGTGTTTTATTTTGCATTTTTCCTACAATAGCCACGTGGCCTCCACTTGCCTAAGCCTCCTGTGCCACCACAAGTAGAAGAGGAATATTACACCATTGCTGACTTCCAGACCACTATCCCTGATGGCATCAGCTTTCAAGCAGGACTGAAAGTAGAGGTGAGGCTGCATCTTGTCCAGCCCCATTGTCTCCCTCTTGTGACCCTCCACATAGTTTGTGAGGACTCATTGCTCATGAGAAGACTCTTTTCTGCACGGTCTTGCATGGTGTCAGACAGAGGGCTGAGGACCAGTTCTAATGATACACCTGTTGAATCCCTACTTTTTTAAGGAGGTGCAGTCATAAACATTATTTATTTAGACATTTATTAAATAAACAAACAAACATAATTTATGCATGGAGATTGTTTCCATATTCATTGTATATGGGCTCCATTATGATATTGCTCCAGTGAGGCAAGGCATTTCCTGTCTTTTTGATGTTTTCTGTGGAGATGGGTTTTTTTTGGGGGGGGGTCAAGTCACAGCTGACTTACGGTGACCCCTGTAGGGTTTTCAAGGCAAGAGACTAACTGAGGTGCATTGCCTCTGCGTTGCAACCCTGAACTTCCTTGGTGGTCTCCCATCCGAATACTAACCAGGGCCAGTCCTGCTTAGCTTCTGAGATCTGATGAGATCTCAGATAACCTGGTCCATCCAAGTCGGGGTGATATGGGGATGCCAAGAAATAAAGGACAGGGCGCAGAAGGTTACTTTGGCGAGCCAGTTTGGTGTAGTGGTTAAGTGCATGGACTGGGAGAACCGGGTTTGATTCCCCACTCCTCTACTTGCACCTGCTGATGTGACCTTGGGTCAGTCACAAGCTCTGGCACAGCTGTCCTTGAAAAAGAGCAGTTTCTGTCAAAAGCTCTCTCAGCCCCACCTACCTCACAGGGTGTCTGTTGTGGGGAGGGGAAGGGAAAGGAGTTTGTAAGCCGCTCTGAGACACCTTTGGGTAGTGAAAGGCGGGGTATAAATCCAATCTCTTCTTCTTCTTCTTGGTGGGTGGGAGCATGGGAGCTAGTTCTCTCAGGTGATGATTAGCAGGTGGGAGGGTCACACTTTGGTCCAAAGCTAGGCAATCAGGGACCAGAGCGCCTCTTGTTTAAGATCTAGAGTCTGATTTGTGCTTTCATGTGGCCTTTTAAAGTGGCACAGGACTGTCCTCCCATGCTGTAGACTAGGTGGAAGACTGTTACATAAGACACAGATGTTAGTATTTCTTCATTTATGGAATGAAACCTATTTAATTGTGGTGATGTAAACCCTGATCTCTTCTCTCTCCCTACACCCCAGCAATACTGACACACCTGCATATTGTCCACTGTGTGTGAGATCCCCACCCCACGCCCAACTGTAATCATCATTAAAGTCAGGAAAAGGAACCTTAATGCTTGTTTCTTCCTTGGGATTCTTGGGATCCTGCCAGGCCAGCATGTTTGTGAACAACTGAATACTGACATCTAGTGGTCAGTTACTGTACTCCTTTTTGCCCAATTGGTTTCTCCTTGTTCTGTGCTCAGATTATGACAGATAACCAATGCTTTGGTCTACCGTGTTGTATGGTCTAAATTCAACTTAATCAGAAGATCTGGAAGCTGTTGGTATATATTGCCAGTCATCTGACATGTGGTGCACATCATCTTCATTATTTATTATTATCCTGACTGTATGTGATGGGGAGAAGGAGCTGGTGCCAGAAGTTCTTACGTCATTGTGGCTTTCTTTCCTTTACCAGGTGATTGAGAAGAACCTGAGTGGCTGGTGGTACATTCAGATTGAGGAGAAAGAAGGCTGGGCACCAGCTACTTTTATTGATAAATACAAGAAAACTAGTAATGCATCTAGGCCTAACTTCTTGGCACCACTACCAAATGAGATTGCACAGCTCCATCTTGGCAACAGTACAGCAGAGAGCAGCTTTGACGGAGAAGCCCCTGGGCCATCCAGGCCTTTGCCTGATGCACCACCTAATGGTGCAGACCTTGGAGGGAAGTGGAAAGGGAAGGAGGCCCCCAAAATTGCCATGTCTGAGAACAGTGATGCATCTCTGTTTGTCGGGTACGAGGAGATCTCTGATCAGGATGCAGAGGAGAAACCTAGCCTTCCGCCTCGGAAGGAATCAATCATTAAATCAGAAGAGGAATTAATGGAAAGGCAGCGGCTGGAACAGAGGCCACCTCCAAAGCCTCCTGGCACGATTTTGCCAGTGATTCCTCCCAAGCAAGCTGTGCCTCCAAGGGACAACAGGAAACCAGAACTCAAAACAGAGAAAGGGAAATTGTTCCAGCTGAAAAACGAAATGGGATTAGAGTGCGGGCACAAGGTGTCACCCAAAGAAGTAAAGAAGCCAAATCTCCGGCCCATAGTCAAGCCAGCCAAGCCAAAAATTGAGCCCATGGAGGATAAGCCTGAGCTGGCTTCCCAAAACCTTTTCTTGAAATCAAAGCCTCAGATCAGACCCAAGCCAGCAGCAGCCCCTAGAACAGACCCCCCAGGTACTCAGGCAGATGATAAACTAGACATTGGCAATCTGAGGAGCAAGCTCAGGCCTGCAAAGATGCAAGAAAAACCTTCTGAACAGGACTCCGTGGCAGGGGAGAGCACCTTGAGCAGCAGTGTGCTGTCAGCAGAACTTTCTGTCAGATCTCAGGAGAGACCAAATGTGGAGATTAGGCCTCCCTCCAGACCAGACAGTCAGATCTTTAAGGAGACTCCTTTGCCCAAAGCTCCTGTTGCCTCTTCAAAGACAGGTGAGAGTGAGCCCAAGAGCAGCTCTACAGTTCCCAGGGAGCCACCTCAGCGGCCTGTCGTGCCACCTAGGAGGCCCCCTCCACCCAAGAAAGCATCCTCTGCATCTCCATATGCCCCCTCTCCGGAGCACAAAGCCCCACAGAGGGAAGTGCCTGAAGTCAGAGCAGCCCCAGTGCCTGGCAGGCCAATGCTAGTTCCACCAAAAGCCAAAGGTTTTCTGCCAGCTGTGGGCCAAGATGATGCCAAAGCAAAAAGTGGCTTAGGCCAAAAGGTGGTCCCCAAGCTGGTGGAGAGGGAGACCAAGGAGAGAGGGTCTGCCTCCATCACCAGTTCAGATGTCTCCAAAGAAGCCCTCTATGTGGCCATGGCAGATTTCGATGGAGATGAAGAAACCAGCAGCTTTAAAGAAGGGACGTTATTTGAAGTTCGAGAGAAGAACAGCAGTGGCTGGTGGTTTTGCAAAGTCCTCACTGGAGGGCCATGTTGGGAAGGCTGGATTCCTTCCAATTATCTCATTAAAAAGCCGTAGTCGTTCCTCCCTCATCTTCAGTTTATGCGGCTCAACATTCCTCATTTATTACTAAAATATTTAATTAGCTTATTAATTTATAGGGTTTTCCCCCATAAGACTGGCTTTTTAAAAAAAAGTATCTGGGATACCATACGTTCCAACATGTGCCTTTTCCAAGTCAGGCCAGCGAGAGAAGCAGGGTTTGATGTAATATAGGTCAGCTTTTGGCAAACCGTTTCCTGTGCACCTTTTGATACATAAGCCCCTGTCCTCTCCCCTGTATGGTTTATAGGGCATCCTGTTCCTCACAAGACTGGTTGATGCGAATGTCCTTTTTTAATTCTCTGCAAGGTCTGGAGCAAATAATGTCACAAAAACCAGAGACTGCAAAATGTATACATAATTAAGTGCTCAAGAACCTGTTTTCAGGCAGTCTTGGGGAAAATCTGTTTCTAGCTTAGTAAAGAATTAGAGCCAGTCTTACTAGCAAAGGAAGGGAAGAGGGAACAGGAAAGGTCATGGTTTGACTGAGTTTCCTTGTTAAATGTCGTGCCATATTATTCAGTTAACTATTGGCAAGAGCTAAGGCACTCCATAGAAAAAATAATAAATATGAGTTCAGTTGTACACTATATAGGTATGCTGTTGTACCTATTGATTGTAAACTATATTGTATACCAGGTGCAAAGTCTTAGCCATGTAGGAACAGAAGGTCTTTCCAGCCTCAAGTTTGTGCCTTTTATTCTTTGTTTGAAAAATCTTGCTGACAGAACAGTTAGTTCTTGTGGGGCAGCTGGTATTATATTATGCCTTTTTTTGAAGCCATGTTCTATTGGACTTGAATGTGCTCTCTCTGCTGCACACATCACAGTGTGGGCTTGTATTTCTCAATACTGCCACCTCATTTCAATAAACAGAGGGGTTATCCACTCTGCTTAATTCTAAGGAACTGAATTACTCTCGACACTGTGGCAGGAGGATGGCTTGGCAGAACAGGGTGCCTCTCCTTCAAGCCTAGATTGCACTGTTGCTTTCTTTACTGCTCCCGCAAGTCAGTTCCTTGCACTGTTCAGCCCTGATCCCCTCAGGTAGAGTAGGTGACAGCTGCCAGGATGGTTGCTCTCCAGTGGGTGCTAATAACTTCTTTTCAACCTGGAGGTAGCAGCCAGATCTCATGGTGGGGAGGAAGGTTTTGCTGCATCTCTACCCATTTTATCTTTTTCATATCCTTTTCCCTATAAGAGCCTTTCCCAAAAAGCATGTTTCTCATTTTGTGTTTATGTGTCAGTTGTAGAAAGGGAAACAAAACAAAACATGGAGTTGATGGAAGCCAATGCCAGCAGTGTTTACTGAAACATGCAACCAGTCTTTTTTTTAAAAAAACCAATTCTGAGAGTGGTGAAAACTATTGTACCAACACCACCCCAGTCAAAGGGCATATATGGATCCTGTTCTTTTAGCCATAGATCATGGCACATGTCTGTGATACTGTGAAATTGGTTCTGAACTGAATAGGAATAGGTACTGTAGCACTTTGTGCTAAGAATCACTTCACATGACATTTCTGTAGTTTAGAATGCTAACTAACTAACATGCATGCTTGTGGCATCAGGTATGGAAATGTGTGCGTGTGTTTGGTGCTTAATGTTTTAAAATGCACCAGAGAGGTGTGTTTATCTTTTCCTGATCATTGCTCATATTTAAAAGGCAATCCCAACAGTGTGTGTACATGCATGTTCTCAGTCTTTGAAATTTGAATGAACCAGACGAATATAGTTCTGGACGGCAGTCCTAGATGATATTGAGTGAATGACGTTTTGAAGTTAAAAAAAATTAAAGGACCAAATCTAGATGTTTCTATAACTGCGTTCAGAATATGTGAAAAAGTTCACCTTGAAATTTGTGTTGGTCCTAAAACAGGTGGTGGTTTTGAAAAAGACTGGCTTCAAGAAATGGAATCCCAGATCTCCCCAGTAGTTCAGTTTCATGAATTGTTGTCTAGCTGGCCCCCCCTAGGCTGAATCTATGAATATGGTTATTAAAATACATCAGTGTTATTTTTAAAATCAATCTCTATAGGGATTCCAACTTCCAATTTTGCCTTTGAAAATCAGTACTTGAAGTTTTGTGTCTGCATTTTTTCCCTAAAGACATGCTGTATTGGCACCCATTACCTAGTACTGGGGTGTTTACTCTGTTCATCTTACCCTTGTTCTTTATATTGTCAATAGATAGGATCTGTTTTGCTGGTTTTCATGCTCGAGATCTATGCTTCTCATGCCTATCTCTACCCACCCTGATCATAGATCGTATTGATACTACGACCAATTATCGAATTATCTGTTTTCCAGCAGTGTGAATTCAGTACACAAACATCCAGTACTTCTCCTCTTGCCATCCTATGTGATCTGTATATTACAGTAGCATAACTGTAAAATGCATCGAGAGAAATGACCAACTCAGGGCTCTGTCACTTTCCCATAGAGCACTGAGTCCCAAAGACACATCCTGTCCCCTTTTCCTGAGTGCATAGGAGCTCCCCCAGTCGAGAAGGCAATGGCTTCTGTCGTTGCTTCATAACAGACTTGGTGTCCTGGACCTTGTTTGTTCTCTTGGCTGCTAAAGCATGGCCATGGCACTTCTGTAGCTCCATACAACACAGACAATGAGACGGCCTACTTTGCTGGGGTAGGAGATGACTTAGTGAGCTAACACTCACCTAATACTTTATTGTCCTATGTTGAAAGGCAATATTACCACAGCATGAAATTTGTTACACATTTATTTTCCTTTTTTTTACCACATAGTAGCGTGACTGTTGTTTACTGAAGAGATAAAGGATATTGAGCCTCTTATTGACCAAATCGAAATTAATGGTCCTTCGACTGGGGTGTTGTGGGCCCAAGGAAGGTTTACCAAATGGCCTTATGTTTGCATCTGCAGTCTTTGGAATCCTGTTGTAATGTCTAATATTATGTAATCAATCTTTACATTTCTGTGGGTGGGCTGGGGTTTTGTTTTTCCTGAGGAGGATAGATGTAGCCTGTGTAAAAATCATGTATACTTCCAGCATTAAAGTTTGGGTTTTTTAAAAGATAAAGAAATAAAAAAGGCTTGACTGGTTTCAAGCAGAATTACTGTGAAGTGTCTGCTTAGGTGGCTAAAGTGTGGTGCCATTTTCTCAAGATAATGTTTCTTGCAGGTAATCCAGCAAAATCTACCCAGGATCAAATTAAACCCTTAGATTTGCGGCATTTCAGTGGGCCATAAGTATGCAATAAGTAAACTACATGGCTGAAACTCCCTCACAGTTCTTACATAACAAAATCTTCATATGCAAATGGTAGAATCAGAAAGTTTGGCATTGGCTGCCCATGTCTAATCTTTAAGAATTATTTGTTTAGTCCATTTATGCTCCACGTTTCTCCTTAGTGGGGGTCTAAAGTGACTTCCATTGGTGACTGTGTGTGACTGGTCCCTATGAAGAAAGGTTAAAATGCTCGGGGCTCTTTAGCTTGGAGAAATGACGACTGGGGATGACATGATCAAGGTTTATAAGATTATATATGGGGTCAAGCAGGTAGAGAAAGAAGTAGAAAAGAAGATGATATTAGATTTATACCCTACCCTTCACTCAGAGCGGCTTACAAACTCATTTCCCTTCCCCGCCCCACAACAGACACCCTGTGAGGTAGGTGGGGCAGAGAGAGCTCTTTCCAGAACTGTTCTTGAGAGAACAGCTTTGACAGAACTATGGCTTGCCCAAGGTCATCCAGCAGTTGCAAGTGGAGGAGCGGGGAATCAAACCCGATTCTCCCAGATTAGAGTCCACACACTTAACCACTACACCAAACTTTTCTCCCTTCCTCAAAATACAAGAACTCATGAGCCCTCAATGAAATTGCTGAACAGTCGGGTTAGAACAGATAAAAGGAAGTACTTCTTCACCCAAAGAGTGATTAACACATAGAATTCACTGCCACAGGAGGTGGTGGCAGCTACAAGCATGGATGGCTTCAAGTGGGAATTAGATAAACATATGGAGCAGAGGTCCATCAGTGGCTATTAGCCACAAGGTATAGATAGGAACTTTCAGTCTGGGGAAAGAGATGCTCTGTCTTCTTGGTGCTTGGGGGGGGGGTCAACAGTAGGAGATGTTCAGAGATAGTTTGCCATTGCTTGGCTCTGCGTAGCAACCCTGGTATTCCTTGGTGGTCTCCCATCCAAATATTACCTAGGGCCAACTCTGCTTAGCTTTCAAGATCTGATGAGATCTGGCTAGCCTGGCCTATGCAGGACAGGACTAGCCATAAAGAGGCATAATAAGTTGTAGCAAATGCAGCACCTGGTCACTGCCTTTTATGATCTTTTTGCTGGACTTCTTGGGCCTTTGTCTACTGAAAGTTCTGTAATAATTCTTCAGCGCAAATATCATAATCAAGAGGAATTAACGCATAATTCTCAGGTAAATTATATACATTTCTGGAAATGGGCATGACCTACTTTTAGGATCTTATCTCCATAGCTGCCAGGTAATCTATGACTAGTTCTTCAGCAATGAAGTACTACCATGCAGATTTTTTAAAAAAGCAAACTATTGGTTATTCTTTGGAAGTCATTCTGAAATCATTGATAATGCAGGTATGTCTGCAGCACTCAAGCTACCACCAGCACTGTTCAAGGTGTTCCCTTTGGTGACCTTTTGTAGCTATAAGAGTGCAAAGGTACCTTTTCCCATGTGATGTGATCCATTAGGGTAAGATTTGAATTATTTGGCAAGGTTTCTCCTGTTTCAGCCCCTTTCTCACCTGTTGGGGAAACTGGTAGAAAGCAGCATAGAAGAAGAAGCCTTGCCGAGGAAGACTGCACAGTTTTTATAAAGGGTGCTCCAGGTGGATCAGGTTTCTGGGTTCTTTGAGAGTGTGAAGTGGAGTGATCTGTTAACACTTGAACTTCCAAAAGGCTTTTGAGAAAGCCCTTCACCAATCATTCCTAAGTCAAGGGAATGGCCATCAGATAAGAAAATAGACCAGTAAATGGATAAAGAACAGGAAGCAAAGGATGGGTATAATGGAGTTCTTTCAATGAAGGGACAGCTTACAGTGAGATACTCTGGGGATCTGTGTTGGAACTGGTACTAATTAACTCGTTTATAAACTATGTGGAGTTTAGGGTGACCAGTGAAGTGGCAAGAACCCAACCAGACTTACAAAGGGATCTTTTCGAACTGAGCAAACTTATGACAAAATCACAACTGTAACTGTAAAGGGATGTGCATTGGGGCAAAATGCTGACTTCACCTACACACTGCAAACCAAAGAGAGAGATCACCGGATGGAAGTTGAAAGGAAGCAAACAACCGTGATGTATAGTGCCAAAAAAAGGTTCTTCACCAACTTGTAAATTCTTTTTTCAGTATTCAGTTTACTGGAAGCAATTCAAACGCCATCAACACCAACGAACCATGCATATTACATCTCATTTCGTGTATACCTTTATCAAAGTGGGTAGCATTGAAATACCTATATAATGTTAATCCATTTGGCAAACACTCTAGTCATACCTCATAGTCACCAATGGATTTGATGGATGACTAGAGTGTTTGCCACTTTGATAAAGGTATACACGAAATGAGATGTAATATGCATGGTTCGTTGGTGTTGATGGCGTTTGAATTGCTTCCAGTAAACTGAATACTGAAAAAAGAATTTACAAGTTGGTGAAGAACCTTTTTTTGGCACAATACATCATGGTTGTTTGCTTCCTTTCAACAATTCACCTACACACTGGCAGGATCTGAACATCCTGTAACTCTTCCAGAATCTTGGGGTTGTGATGTATGGGTTGAACTGTGTGTATAACAGTGGTTAAAAAATTAATTCTGTGCCAAGATATTGAACATCATAATGTTTTTAAATCTGCAGGGTGACCACATTGTCAGGGTCAACAGCAAGCAGGTCCAAACACACTCTCCTGAAAAGGCTATGTTTTATTGGAATACTGGTCTGTTGCCAAGTGGTACAGGTACATTGTCAGAAATAACAATTAGTGCAAGGGGCTCCATACATATACTCTGATGCTGCATCTAGCTAAGCAAATGAAATCCAAGCGCAAGCGTGGGAATTCTCCTGGCAGGATATTACATCATGAATGGGAGACTCACCCCAATCCCTTGAGAGCAGAAATAGTCACACCCGTAGTGGAATTCAAGCCCTCCCTTCCCTTCAAGGTTATACTGATAGCGTGTCTGGCTGAGCCATTTCGCACGGGGGGGGGGAGAGCGCCTCCCTTATGTTACCCACGGTAGCTAAGCAAAGCAAGCATGTGCGGCTGCGCAAAAGTCAGGGACGAAAGACAACAAAGCATGGCAGCTAGCTGACATTCTGCCCCCTCAAAAGAAAATCACCCCCCTCCTGGAATGCCTGGGAGACCTCCTGGTTTCCCCGGGAGATGTTCGTGAAAATCACGCAAGAGGTCAGGGGCTCGAATATCCCCTTCTTCCACCCATTCACGGTGTTGGGGACCAAAATGCACCCACTCTACAAGGTAATATAAGCATCCTCGTTTCTGTTTAGAATCCAGAATTTTAGAGATTTCATAGTGTTCTTCACCTTCCACCAAGAGAGGAGGAGGTACTGTCGGTTCAGGGCGCCATCGATTAGGACCTGGACTGGGCTTCAAAAGGCTGAAATGGAAAATGGGATGGACATATTTTATGTAGCAAATCTAATTCTACGGTCACATCATTGATCAGTCTGAGCACTTTAAAAGGCCCAATGTACTTCCATGCCAATTTCCGAGAGGATTGAGAGAGTCTCAAATTCTTGGGGGATACATACACAGAGTCCCCAGGCTGCAACACCCAACCCTCCACCTGTTTCTTGTCAGCCTGGTGTTTGTAAGCTCCCTTGGCAGCTTCCAGTATTTTGCAGATTACCGACCATGAGTCTCTTAGCGTTTCACACCAATCCGCAGCATCATCCCCGTTTCTTGGCGCCATGGCCAAGAAGGGGACTGGGGGGCTGTCATAGCCCAATGCAGCTTTAAAAGGCAAAACACCTGTGGATGAATGATAAGCATTATTATAACAGAATTCAGCCAAGGACAGCAAGTCAACCCAATCGTCTTCTTGAAAGTTGGTGAAGCAGCACAAATAATGCTCTAGGGTTTGATTCACCCATTCCGTCTGGCTGTCAGTCTCTGGGTGGTAAGCTCTGCTTAGGGCCCATTCCACCCCCATAAGGTCCATTAGTTCCCCCCAAAACTTTGAAACAAATTGGGATCTGCGATCCGTGATTATCTTATTTGGCAACGTGTGAAGTCTAAATACATGTTGGAGGAAAGCTTTAGCTAACGACCGGGCAGTTGGCAAACTGGGAAATGGGATGAAATGAGCCTGTTTGGAAAACAGGTCCACGACTACCCAAATTACAGTCATAGATTTGCTAGGAGGTAAGTCTGTGATAAAATCCATAGAAATCACCTCCCATGGTCTACTGGGAGTTGGCAGCGGCTTCAAGAGCCCTGGGGGCTTTCCCGGTCTAGGCTTACACATAGTGCAGATTTGACATGAGTGCACATACAAATCCTTGCGCATGTGCGGTCACCAGAATTGGCGCTGTAAAAGATGCAGTGATTTTACAAAGCCCAAATGGCCAGCTGGCTTAGATCCATGAACTGTGGCTAATACGTCCCCCCGCAACAGTTTTGGAACAAACAGTTTATTTCCTTTATAACAGCAGCCATTGTCCCGTTGTTCCAAGTCCCCCCCCTCACTTCCTCCACATCAGATTTTGAGAGTGCGGAGGCAAATTTGGCTTCCCAGCACCCCGCCTTCCCAGCCCCCCTTCGCTTGCCGTTGTGTCGTCACTGCTCCACCTAATTGGGAAGGTATAAACATGGAGTCTAGCACTGTCTCCCTCTGGCTATCGTGTCGCAGGAGGCGGGACAAAGCCAGGGAGTTTGATTTGCCTGGGAAATGGTGCAACGTGAATGGAAACTTTGAGGAAAAATCAGCCCACCGAAGCTGCTTGGCATTCAAGTTGCGAGGGGT